TGGCGTGGCCGGGAATTCTGGGAGTTGAAGTCCACTCATCTTAAAGTGGCCAAGGTTGAGAAACACTGCTGTGGACAGATAAGAAAATAAGCAAAGAGGTCATTGAACAAACTCATCCAGAGTTCTCGCTCGAGGCATTAATATCCAGGCTCAAATTAATCATATTTTGGACTCATCAAGCAAAGACCTTGAGAACTCCATAACACTGGAAAAGGTGGAAGGAAAGAGAAGAAGAGGACAGCCAGGAGCCAGGTGGAGGGACTCAGTTGCAATAGTGATGGGTGCATTGTTGGAAAACCTGAAAGACCAGGTTGGAGACAGCTCATCCTGGAGAACATCTGTCTGCGTGATCACTAAGAGTTGATACCAGCTGGATGGCAGATAAGCAAGCAAGCTGGGAACGGAGGTGTCTGCAGGGTATGGTCCAAACAGTGAAGATGCAATGCACTTAAAAAATAGGCAGAGCTTCCATTGCCATTGCAGCCACCATCTTGCCTTTTTTGACCTGACCCTGAAGACACCCCTGGCTGTCACAACTCACGAAGGGTAGGAGCAGGTTAAGTTCTTGCCCAGGTCAGTTCCACTCACGTTGCTCTCAGTTTCTTATTTTTGCAAATTTCTTGTGTTCTGCTTGTTTGTTTAAAGCTGATGTGCAGAGTTATGTGGTTGGACATGCATTTCTCCAGACGGAAACATTTTGACTAGCAATTTAGTCTAACGTGGGTTTTTGTAATGCCAGCTGCTTTTTGGTAATACAATGGATTTCGTACATTATTTTGTTCAAAAGATGCCTTTTTGTCTTTCCCCCAACGTCCACTTTTTAGCTGGCAAAGCGCACTGCAAACATTCAGAGAAGCGCCAGTTTTGAATGGTAGTAAAGTTTTGGTGTATGTGTTAGTTCAAAAGCAAAAATGGAGATATTAGCATTTCAAAGGCGATCCTCTTCCTTGCATGAAATGGCATGCATGAATTCACCCCGTGTGGGAAATATCCTCCTGCTTCTTGTTTGATCTTGTCTCCATCCTTGGAAGAATTCTCCCCAAGGCCTTGTTTTTCAGCCCCCTCCCAACGAAATCCTGTGCATTTGCAGACAGAGCCAAAACAAAGTCAGAGTTGTTTTGTAAATACACCGGATGTTGCCCCAGCTGCTTTGGCTGTGTTTTTTTTTTAAGCAATCTTTGTTTTTATGGGATTCAGCCCTGAGTTCCTTTTGGCTCCCTTCCACCCCCTGAGTACAGTTTGCTTAATCATTCTTCACCAGATAAGCCAGGATTAGAGCCACACAATATGCTAAAATACAGATCGTCTGTGCAACAAGCAAAGCTGAACGGAATCACCTTTTGGCTGTCAACTCAGCTACAGTCTAGTTCAGGAAATGTGCTGAGCCCCCGTGTGATTTCTTTGTTTGACACAGATGTCTTGCAGGAACCCAGCAATGGTGGTTTGCAAACCCCAGTTTATGGCTTCCTGTGTCTGACTGCGGTTCAGTCAATCGGCTCCGGTGAACCCAGCTACCTTGTGGAATCAGTCTGAAGATGGAAAAGCTGCCTGCCGTTTCTAACTTCTGGCCTCCCTTCCATGCCGTGCTGCGCTCCTGGGATGGAATGGTTTGGTGAAGGCCGCGCTCAGGGAGATAAGCATTTCCTTAGCCCCCAGAAAGAGCCTGGGAAGGTGAAGAGGATGAGACTGGCACCACCCTAAGGAATTTGCAGTGTTTGCTTTGTTGTCTCTAGGCTGATG